TGGACGTGGCCTGATTGACATAGTTAACCTTCACTACAAACAAATACAGTCACTGCGATGTTTTTTGTTTTTTGTAGAAAAACAAGAAACATCACAGCAACTCTAGCAGACTCTAGCAGACAAAGCAATAACTCTAGCAGACTCAAATAACACACCATTAAACTTACACTCACATCATACGGACATGACATAACATATAAAAAGCATAGACACCATCAAGCAATCGTGGGCACGAAAGGCACTCCATGGCAAGCATCCTTATGATCTGGCCAAGGATTTTGTTGACAAAACTGCATCAAACAGCTGGTTAGATTGGAAATGCCTTTTTGGGGAGACGGGAAGAATTCATGATTGCGATACAGGATCAGGTTATAAATACTAAACACTACATAAAACACATACTCAAAGATACAACACTTACAAATGACACGTGCAAAAAATGTCGCATCGTGCCAGAAACTATACAACACATTACTTCAGGTTGCAAGCTCTTGGCACAGACAGATTATTTACACAGACATAATCAAATAGCAAATATAATACACCAAGAGCTTGCAAACAAACACAAATTATTAGACATCCATGAACCATACTACATATACATTCCACAGACATTACTGGAAAACTGTACGCACAAAATGTACTACGACAGAGCCATAATCACAACAGACCAGACATCACACTCTTTGACAAACACAAAAAAATCACATACATTATAGACATATTTGTTCCAAAAACTCACAATATACACAATACGTGCACTGAAAAAGTCAGGATGTACCCAGAACTCGCCCAGGAAATAAGGCATCTGTGGAGGATGGAAAAGGTGCTTATTGTACCTGTCATTCTCTCCTGTACAAATGTGATACCACACACACTACATAAAAGCCTGGAAACATTACAATTGAATAAAAACACATAAATCACACTACAGAAGGCCACTATATTGAACACATGCCATATTGTTAGGAAATTCTTGAATACAGACACTGACACGCTTATTTCATTTTAGTTTTTGGTTTCTATGCCTTGACTCTTGTCCGGCATAGTACACAGCCACCGGTATCAACCGAGTATAACCCACTAAATACTGTATAATAATAATACATACAGGGCCAGTCAGAGAATTATGGAATCTGGTCCAAAATAAATACTAGAGGACCTATAACAACAAATGAAATTGTTATGATAGTAAAGGAAATAAACGAATAACACATGATTTAGGGGAAATATTTTTTCAGCATATGTTGAACCTTTTTTGTATGCATATATAGGAAGGCTCAAACACTCACATGTCGTTATATATTAATATACAGTATATATATACCGATATATGCTGAAACATAATACAATTGAATAATAAATACTATGGAAGGTCAATTTATGAACGTTATCAATAATATTATCCATACATTTTTTTTTAATTTAGAAAAAGATATATAAAGAAACAGATACACAAGTAAATATCATGCATTTTGAAAAATACTGCTATAGAAAGGCAGAGGGTATTAACTCCCCAAATAAAAAAAGTTTGAATTACAGTGGTTTTTCATAATTAAAAAATGTTATTACTTTCCTAAAATAACATACTTTGTTAAAGCAACGTGTAATGCAACTGTAATGATAAGACGCTTTTTTATATTATATGTGCAAGTGATATTATATTTTTAGGGGGTTAAGAAAGTGACAGTGTCATAGCAATCAGGGTTGAGAAATTTGTATTATTCTAAGATAAAATAATGATAAAGGTTTCTAAATAAAACGTGTGTATTTTTGTTTGTTTGTTTTAAAACAGTTTTATATTACGTTGTAAAATATTGTTTTAAAACAATGTTTTAAATTNACTAATAATAAGAAATATAAAGGTCAACATTTATTTATTGTTATTCAATTTTAAACTATATTCAAGTTTATAGTTAACCAATATTATACCAAAATATTCATTATTAAATAGCATTCCTACAAAAAATTCTAATAAAAATTAATATAAACACACCTTTCTATAATTTTCGCTGCTCCTATTAATGTGCGTGAGTTGATTAAAGAAAAAGCACCTACAAACTCATTTTTCAGGAATATTGCTGCCTAAATTAAATTAATTTTCTTAATAAGTATAGTAGCCTTAATAAAAATGTTTGCACCTATAGACTTACTATAAAAGCGAACTCGGAAGTACTTGCGGGCGATCCTTCAACCATCTTTCGTTCAATTACTAAAATTATACAAAATTGTTTACAGTCAATTATTATTCTTTCACTCAAATACTATGTTAATTAATATTCTTACACGTACGTGGTTTATATCCATTTCTTTCAGAAACACACAAAAAATAGTCAATATTTAGAAGAAGCAATATTCCAAATCTGTGATTTGTAAGCATTAAAAAAATGTTTGGAATCAGAATTAATACGTTAGAAATTCCATAATAAATCATACATTACAATCACATTATAACTTTCTTAACAATTGAAGGGCTTAAAAACAGAAGAAGGTAACTGACATTTTCGTGAAATTTGAGTTAATAGTTTGGAAGCCAGAGATAAATGCCTAGTAAATGCTTTAATTAAGACTGACCACCATCTATTCTGAAGTTTTGTGGTGGAAGAAGACGGTTTGCAACACAGATGTAATATAGTATTTATAAAATATCTGAACTCAAACTTCGCAATACCATTCTGCTAGTTATCTCCTTTCACTAAGACCTTCAATTTAAGTTTGCGATATAAATAAAAATTAAATTTTTACACAATTATTACAGTACAAAGATATAAAAAACACACCTTAAGAAGTTCTTCATACTTGAAACGCAAAGTGGAAGTTTTACTTATTGTTACTTCTTGACAGTACCTAAAAATAATTGCTTGTAAAATATAGAAAATGATAATCCTGGTTCACATTAAGATATATTAGCTAAAATCATCTCAAATTTATCTAAACGAGTAATTAATAAACGCACACATACTAAGTACGTGTAATTACTGTTTTCCCTGCCTAGTTTTTAAACAAAACATATAAGGTAAATCAGTTAGATGGTGGAAGGTGTGAGTGTAAATTTTATTTAAGAATTAATTGAATTGTGTTTTCTTATTATAGCAAACAAAACAGAAACAGAGAAAATATAGTGTTTTTTGAAAAACAAATTTAAAAAAACAAAATATAATTTTTGCTAACTCACCATCTCACCGTTAGAGGGTTTTTTTAACTCTTTTCGTCCTGTGGGCACTAACAGGGCCTCTTTTTGCAAGCCCATTATGGGTTCGGCCAGGCCTACAATGGCGCTGCCGGGTGGTGAGGGTCGGGGTCCGACATATCCGAACAGACTGACCCCCGAAATATTCCTGGGGATTTTTCGACCCGTTCGAATTCGAACCCGGGTCCCCCAGAGCGGTAGGCTGCCACCTTGACCGCTCGGCCATCCGGCCGCATATTTAGGATTTAATTATTTCAGTCGAAGCGGTAGGCTGCCACCTTGACCGCTCGGCCATCCGGCCGCAAAAAATACCGTTAGAGGGGTGGGAGTGAGTTAGTGAATTGTATAGTGATGAGCAGACTACTACAACATACGCCTTATTTTTGAGCGATTAGCACAGATTAGACTTATTATTCAAGGTTCTAAAGTATTACAGTACATGCAAGTTTTGTTACTGTAATACAAAAGTCGTATGCTTATCTTTAATTAAGATTTTCAAGGCTACATTAAACGTTCAAAAAATTCTAAAATCAAATAGAAACATTCGCTACAATAGAACAATTCGATTTGTTAACCTATTTTTACAGCTATTCCGCATAACGATACTAAGAATGGCTTTTCAATTGTGTTGCTTTATTTTTCAGTTTATACAAGCATTCATCGTCTAATTTTGTTCACCATCTAACTTTGGTTTACCCTGTATATGTAATTTGTTGAATGATTTTACATTATAATGAAATAATAAATTAAACTTCTATGTTTAACAACTTTTCATTTTTCTTTATCATAAAAACTCACCTGCCTTTGTTTTATACAAAAACCTATCTGTTCGTACTGGAATATAAAATNTCAGTTTTATATTACGTTGTAAAATATTGTTTTAAAACAATGTTTTAAATTTTTAAAAAATATATTTTATTACATAAATTTAGTAAATAAACTTTTCTGACTTGTGGGCATGATAATGGGGTATTTTTCTCACTCTCATGAATCATGAAACACATAAGGTATCGACCGTATCATTTTCGCTTGGAGACTCCAGTTTTGACGACATTTATTCAGTCTCCGATTTTAGTAGTAATTTTGCCAAGAATATCAATATTTTACTTATTATTCTTTGTTCTTTAATATTAAAGCTTAAAATCAGTTTGTTAATTATTCTGTAACATTCGCTTTATGAATATCGAAACCGCCCACAATCTTCGTACGGAGTTAAGTTATTTAGGGCGGCCAATGTCTGTCTTGTTCAACTGTCAACTTGAATTAATTTACATTTTAAAAGTTAAATAATAGATTGAAAGTGTTGAAAGAAACTAAGAGTTTAAGCACTATAAACAGTAAAAGAAGAAATAATAGTTTGTAAGTTTGTTTGGTGGTAAGTAATGTAAATTGTTTTTGTAAATGGTATTGTGACGTCTGACTGTAAATTCTGATAGAGCAGTGAAAATTCAAACATAAAATTTAAAATAAAATCAGATTATATTCAAGTTAAAAATATTTTGATTGTTAGAAATGATTAATTTGTTATTCATATTCATTAGCATAAAAAACACTGATGAATAATAAAAATCATAATTGAATGCGTGAAATAAGCAATCTGCCTCTCAAAAATTAGGGGCAGTTGAGAGAGAACACATTCAATTACACTGTTTTTTTACTTTGAAATATTTATTTTTTTAAATACAGTGGGTGATCGGTTAACGAACAGATCGGATAACGAACACTTTTGCGAAAGATTTTTATGATCGGACAACGAACACATGTTCGGATAACGAACACTTCACTGAACAAACACGAGAAGAAGCGCGTAAGTAACGAATACTGATTGGTCTTCCTTTGTCTCAGGCAACAATTCGAAACTCTTCGGAGCGCGGGAGACGTCGACAACGACGTTCTACCCAGTATATACTGATCGAATAGTATTCCCCCGAACTTTGAAACTCTCCCTTGTAATTCCAGCCTTTTATATTTCTGACAGAAACAATTCTTTTACGTTTTCTTCTGAAAATACGGATTTATGCCGATATCTGCTATTAAAGATCTTTTGAAGAAGTGGGAGGATGTCAGAACAACGGTCTTAAAATGGCATCCAAACCAGGTTGAGGTTAATAGGCCTATAGATCTCTACAATTACAATGCTATTAATTACTTCTGAAAAATCATGAAGAAGACAGAAAAGCAATCGACATCGGACAGATTCTTTAACCCCCACAAACGGAAAAACACGACTAATAAAAATGCAAGCCCGTGTATATATGTATTTTTATTATTACATGTGAATAAACGTAGTAAGAAAGTATATGTATTTTTATTTTTTGGGGGTCTCCAGAACGAATTAATCAAATTCCCATAGAAACCTATGGTGAATCGATAATCGGTTAACGAACAATTCGGATAGCGAACAAAGTGTTGGAACGGATTATGTTCGTTAACCAATCACCCACTGTATATTAATAATTATTTATAAATTTTAAGTATATTAATAATTTTTTAAAGTTTTTTTTTGTTATATCTATTTTATGTATATATTTTTAATTAATTTTACAATAATTAATTTAAGCCCCCTGCTTAATTTTACTCCTATGTTATTTATATTTTTATATTAATTTTATGTTAATTCTGATTGGTCAATTAATTAATAAATTGACCAATCAGAATTGCCTCCCCCAATTCGCTCCTATTACCAAATTATATATAGGCTAAATGTTTTTCAGTTTTCAAGAATCCAATTGCTACCCCTAAAATGTCTGACAGTAACGAGAATAATATAAGTAATGAAGTGCCGAAAAAGAATAGAAAACATTACTGGACAAAATTCAATAATAACTGGCTAACAAATGTGAGGTATCAAAATTGGTTACAGAAACAGAATGACTTCGCAGTGACCTACTTTCTCTAAAACATAGTAAAACGAAGTAAGTTACAGTACAACGATACACGTAAACACTAACAATAATAATCAAAACAAATTATTGTTCTTCTAAAATCCTCCAATCGGTCTTTGACGTTGTTCTGCGTAAATAGCACGCTTATGTCTAAATAGCACGCTTATAAACACTAAAAAAAACAAATGTTTTCGAAATTAGGACTAGATAATTATATGCACAAATAAATTAGTAGGCCTATAATACATACCTTCATTTATATCCAAGTATTATCCAAACAAAGACCAGTTCTCTCTAATTGTCGGAAATAAATTATTTTTCAACTTTTCTTTTTTTAAAGTAGAATATTCTGAAACAAGTTCTAAAGTAAAATTTCCACCTTTTATCCATTAAAAACAACGCAAAATGTATCGATCCACATAATAAAACTTTATCGCAGTGAACTTCGAAAGATAACAAAAAGATGCAAACAACAAACCGCACTGTACGAAATCAGGCGCGAAGTGATTCATACAAACCAAAAACTAAAATTAAATAAGCGTGTCAGTGTCTGTATTCAGGAATTTCCTAACAATGTGGCATGTATTCAATATAGTGGTCTTCTGTAGTGTGATTTATGTGTTTTTATTCAATTGTAATGTTTCCAGGCTTTTGTGTAGTGTGTGTGGTATCACATTTGTACAGGAGAGAATGACAGGTACAATAAGCATCTTTTCCATCCTCCACAGATGCCTTATTTCCTGGGCGAGTTCTGTGTACTTGCTAATTTTTTCAGTGCACGTATTTTGTATATTGTGAGTTTTTGGAACAAATATGTCTATAATGTATGTGATTTTTTTGTGTTTGTCAAAGAGTGTGATGTCTGGTCTGTTGTGATTATGGCTCTGTCGTAGCACATTTTGTGCGTGTTGTTTTCCAGTAATGTCTGTGGAATGTATTTGTAGTATGGTTCATGGATGTCTAATAATTTGTGTTTGTTTGCAAGCTCTTGGTGTATTATATTTGCTACTTGATTATGTCTGTGTAAATAATCTGTCTGTGCCAAGAGTTAGCAACCTGAAGTAATGTGATGTACAGTTTCTGGCACGATGCGACATTTTCTGCACGTGTCATTTGTAAGTGTTGTATCTTTGAGTATGTGTTTTCTGTAGTGTTTAGTATTTATAACCTGATCCTGTATCGCAATCATGAATTCTTCCCGTCTCCCCAAAAAGGCATCCCCAATCTAACCAGCTGTTTGACGCAGTTTTGTCAACGAAATCCTTGGCCAGGTCATAAAGATGCTTGCCATGGAGTGCCTTTCGAGCCCACGATTGCTTGATGGTGTCTATGCTTTTTATATGTTGTGTCATGTCTGTATGATGTGAGTGTAAGTTTAATGGTGTGTTATTTGAGTCTGCTAGAGTTACTGCTTTATGTAATTGTGATGTTTCTTGTTTCCTGTAGAAAAACTCTCGCAGTGACTGTATTTGTTTGTAGTGAAGATTAACTTTGTCAATCAGGCCACGTCCGCCATCTTTACGTGGAAGGATTAATCTATCTGTGGCAGATTTAGGATGGTGTTGTTGTTGTTTTCCTTTGGAGTTGCTCACGATCTGTGTGAGTCCAATGTATAACTCCAAAAGAGTACGTGAATGCTAGGACGACATATGTGTTTATTTCTTTGCATTTAATTGTGTTCTGAGGATAGCATTTAACCTACTTTGGTATTCTTTAATTAAGCTTTGCTTTATTTGTGTAT